TTTTTTTTTTTTTTGGTTGGTTTGTTGAGGTTCTGGGCTGCTTTATGCGTGTCTTTCAGTTGATCTTCTCGGAGTTGTGGGGATTCTCTTTTTATTAGAACATTGTTCCTTCTTGAATTTTTTAATAGTGATCTCTATCGTTTTGAGAAAAAAAAAATTCAATTCGTGGATTTTCCATCTACTACTTCTACACAATGGATATATTTTACATATATAAGGGGGTCCCAATGGTTGGCTATTTGGCTAACTATTATGACGTGGACATGGTAAAAGTAGGAGAGAGAGTAGTCACTAGCGACGAACAAATAACTTATCTATTTCACGTAACCCAAGATCATGTGAGAGGAGTACGTGAGTCCAGTAGTGTAAAATAGTTATTTTTCTTATCTCTCACATCCACATCAGCTGTCCATATAACTAGTAATAACTATTACCATTGGGGATTCCCTAATTGTATATCAAACATTTGGTATCACAACAAGTGTTGTGGCCTGTGGGATGGAGGGAGGACTGCATAATAAATGTATATATATTCTCAATAATTTATGTCATATTGTTTTGAAAAGTGAATCAAGAGTGTTGGAATTGATGATTGGGCTTGACTTTGTTATATGGACGTTTCCCGAAAGAAATGAGTTGTCCAATCAGAGTTTTGGGTTGTAAAGGGCCTTTGAGCCGTTTGAGTTACGGGCCTACACACCAATTAATTTTAGTCATAATAAGCAATGAATGGCCAGCACACGTGTGGGTTTCAACTGCATATTTATTAATAATCGCAATTAGGGCTAATCGGTGGCAATGATTGATTGTGTAGGGTACATCTCTAGGTGGACCACCCGCACGAGTGGCTCTACTCAATTTTCATTGGTTGTCACGCACAGCTAATTGGATTTGAGAGGTATAAATAATTGTAATTATTTAATCTAAGTATCTAACTATTAATTGCTAATGACAGGCTATAATTACCAATTTATTAATGCCCATATCTTTGTATCAAACAATTTCAACTAGAGAAAATTCGTCCTATGATCTTCACCCGGATTTTGTTTTATTTTATTTTTTTAATTGTTCGATTAATATTTTTTCATATGATCCAACGGTTAGAAATCGAATAAAATAATCCCTCAACTAAAATATTTTCGTATTATTCTAATAATTCATAAATGTATATTGTCTTTGTATATTAATTGTTAATTTTAGTCAACTGCAAGTATGGCCAAAAGAGTTGAGCTTTTCTCAGTGAAATTGCAGGTGTTAGCAGTAAAGTACAGCATTGACCATTGAATAATATATTTACCTGTAATGTCACGACGACGATTAATACAAAAATTGCATAGTGCCCATCATATTGTTTTTCTTATTGAGTTATTTATCATTTAATATATTGATACATATTTAAAGTGTATTTATTGTAGTACACGTATTAATACACTATTTGAGGATAACTTTGAATAATTCCATAAGCCGAGTCATCAGATGGTTCCATAGGAAAATTAAGGATTAATATTACAGTCATGTCTTAGGTGAATTAAATTTGGGATATCAATATTAAACATAATATACAAATTTTAACATATATGATTAGTGGATTACTAAATATTGTTCCCTTATTACTACTTACCCTCCCTTCTAAAGACCATTTTGCCATTTACTCATTTTTTTTTTTTAAATATCTCTTCCTACTACCTACCAGTCGGACCGAGCTTCGAAAAATTCACAAAATACCTCTAAAAAATTTCGGCGTATCGCGGCTGGCCGGTAAAACCGGCCGGACTAGGGCCGGCCGACCGGCGATCGCGGCTAGTCAAGGTCCGGCCGGCAAGGCTAATCCAGTCAGGGCCTACCTGGCTGAAAATTCCGGTTGGCCGGACCCTGACCAACTGCGGTCGCGGTTGGCCGGCGCCAGTTCGGCCGGTTTGACCGACAGGCCGCCAATTGTTTTTTTTTTTGAATTTTTTATTTTAATTATACTAGTACAAATTATAAATGATAC